GGACGGCTGGAGCTTCCGAAGGAGGGGGTGATGTAGAGGTGCTAACTACTCACTGTTCGGTAACCTGCATTGCCACTAGGTATCAAAGGGGCAGTGCCGCGTTACCTCTGTGTGAATAACGGTTGGGGTCAGACGAGGTGAAGTGAATCTTAGCCACGGTTTGGTAAGAAACAATCAGACAATTCCACGTGTGGATGTGGGATTGGTTAGACCTGGCCACAAGCGGGTATAAGAAGGGTGAGCGCGCAGAGCGCAGAGAGTTCTCTCCCTACACGAAGACCGAAGCCCGGGCTGAAGATAGACAGGACCCTGGAACCAGCCCTTCTGAGGGCTAGGGCTCGGCGTATCCAATGGTCAAGACCCACCGGGCCAGCGGTGGGTCAGATAGCCTCCCCTAGATCACAGCCGGAGGACTCTAGGATAGCGGTAGACTCGAGAGTAAGTCCGGCCAAGACAGGAGGCTGTACCTCCTTAGGTTAGCAAGAGACCTGTGTGTAGGTCCCACTAAGTCCGGAGGCTGTACCGTCTTAGGGCATCGGGTGAGGGGACCGTATACCCCTCTGTGTGTTAAGGACTGTGTAAGAGAAGAAAGACAATAAACAGAGTGTGCCTCATAAGAAGTTTATTCGTCATTATAAACACTACAATTGTAAGATCTTGCGGGTGGTTATTTCCAGTGATGTCCTGTTCAGTGCTGATGGGGCTGATGTAACCAAAGCTGAGCAGTGCAAACGCTGCACCTTGGTGAACAGTGTAATGACTGCATGCTATCTCGTGAACCGTGATATTTAAGAGACAGTTACAGTCTGTTTATATGGAAAATCGCGGAATAATAAATAATATATAATACAGGGTAAAGCACAGTTCACGATAACACGTGAGATGTGTAAGCAGGCCGAACAAACACTGAGGTGCGTGTATAGCATCTAGAAGCATCCATCAACATCCCGCTTTGGGTTGGGGTGCCTTCGGTGGCAAGATGTTAACTACCTCGCCTAGGATCCAGGAGGTCGTGTGTTCGTTGCATGTGTATTTGGAGTTTAGCATGTTTCTCCCCCTGCAATCGCGTGAATTTTTCTCCGAGTCCTTCGGTTTTTCCCTCCACATTTAGAATCAACGTGCACTTTTGAGTATTTGGCTGATATACATTTCTACTAAGTCAACTCGTTGAGCTATCATTTGTGACCAGGTCGCTTCTGAAAAAGAGCTGTATAGCTCAGTGGGCCTTACCTGATAAAATAGGAAAGTTTTTATATATATAGTTTGTGTGATGTTACGCCGAAGAAGCCATACAACTGCTTATTCCTACTCGTGCGACGTAGTTCCGTTCGCTCAATCACGTTATATCCAATTTGCCTACGCGTTATAAAAAAAATCTTCTCTAATACACTCATCACGTTGGTTATGAAAACACATTGCGTTATTGGAGAACAGACTTTACTCTCAAATGTTTGAATCGGTTTCTTCGAGTTAGTTTGAAATTGGACGAGATGTTTGATGTTCACTGTTTAGTTTTATTTTTCCTCCCTTATCTTTTGTCCTCTCTGGGACTGTGCAGAAGTGTAAAATTATAAAATGGTTACCACCACCACCGTCGCAAAAACAAATGTGACAACTGGCATAGTAATGGATAGTAAGATTAACAGTAGGGGGGAATGTTGAACAAAAAAACAGAATTAATTCAGTGATATAAAAAGAGGTGGATGCTAACTCAACACAATGTTGAATACCGCTATCCCTCGCCAACCGCAGAATTGCCAACCGTGGAATTCACGTACACACGGTTTATTATCCGCAAACCAACTTAACGGAACGCAGGCCTGGAATATAATCTGCAGGTTAAGCACGGGTGCTGCAACCACGCATTTACAAATGTTGCGGGGCCTCCACGCCATCCGTGCACCACCCGTAGCACTGTGTCGTCGCGTACCAGCTCTCCGTCTTGCTCTGTTGCGATTCTCACAGTACGTAGACCGCGTTGCATTGCAACCGCCATGGATTTTTCTTCTCTGTTTTGGTCATTCGCGTTCATTTTGTCCTTGATCGTAGACCCGAAGGGTGCAATCGAGTGGTGAAGGTGAGAAAAGGGCAAAGAGGAGACAGACAAGTGATGGGTTTGCAGAGTAAAGTGGAGGTGTTGAGAGAGGTTGGTACGTGGTGAGAGTGTTGCGAGTGTGGGGGTGAGTTTTGGGGTTTAATGAGTCTACCATTAAACCATTAAAAAAAGATGATGTGATTACGTACAGTGTTGCTAGTGCTGCTTCATCTCATCAACATCATTGTCCTAATCATAGACTTCTACCCTCAATGTTAAAGGTATAGAAAGGTAATTAAATGTTTATTTACGTATTATTGCACAATGTACTGCATTTTATTTGTGTTTAGTGAAGAAATAGGCAACTCAGTTAAGTTATGAAGAGTCTGACCGTGGCCGTGGTTCCCCTAACCCCCCCATTTCCCATAGGCCCCAGGACTTTACCAACTACGGATTTGCCTTTTTCCAGGAACCTAACCCCAGCGATTTGCGAGAGATTGCTGTGCAATAGAACTGTAAAACGGTTATGAAAATTATTAGATAAGAAATCAGAGAATCCGACACAGATGTGATTTAAAATATCAGGGCAAACAGTGGATTGCATGAAAGCAGCGGATAGTAGGATGATTTGCGATTCACAAATGGGAGGCGCTCTTTGAGAAAAAGATGGATCCATAACACGTAATAGAATCCTAATGTTAGAGGATGAATCCAATTGTTTTTTCAGTAAAAGATTAGGAAGTTCCAGATGCCCTTCACAATTTGAATTGATTCCTCAATAATTGTTCCATTCGAAACAGTGATAAAAACCTATTGGAGAATTATAGACCCGTTTATCTCATATCACGTATGTGTACATTGTTCACGAAGGTATTTGAAGATCAAAATAAAGCCACATCCCAACAAATTACATGAGGAAGTCAGGTTCAGAAAAGGCTCCACTATTATTGGCCACTTGCATGCATGTGCTATTAATCAGATTCTGGAACGATTTAATATCAGAAGAGCATTTTGGAAGCATATTTCATAACATTGGGTAAGTATTGTACAGTATACGTATGGCTTTCATTTATTGATGTTTGAAAATAGCATCTATTAATACTATAATCAAATTTTATTCAATCTTGAGAGTACCGTGATAAGTTGAGTCCGCTATATGTGACATTTTACAACCAAATGTTACAACATTTTACCATTTACCTTACAAAATAATGCCAATATCTCACAACACACATGCTCCTTCCTCAGACATGCCTGTATCTTTGAACCACAGAAGCCACCCTGAGAGACTGTGAGTAACTAACCTCATCTTTGTACCCTCCCTTCAATGTTTGGATTGGAAAATGAAAATGGAAGAACTAAGATGCGATGGAGTAAGAGAAAACCAGATTCTCTTCAACTTGTCGTGGAGGAATGATAATTTAATTACAAAATAACTATCCAAATGACAAAATAAATGTAAATGACTATCCGAATCTACATTCATTGACTTTGGTTTGTCTACCCTAGGTAAGCCCAAATAAGGTAAGACCACCCGTTGACACTGAACAATAATACCGCCTGCTACCCACCACATCCATGTCAAGCATCCCTCCCTCCATCCTCCCCTATATATATCTTTGGTGCTGAGACATAATGTACAATTACCCCCAGTGAGGAGCTCGCTTCTGGCTCCAAATCCAAATGGCTCACATGGTGGAGCCTAAACAGACTGAGAGTGGGTCTCAGCAGATGCAACTCTCTCATGAAATCACGGTGGGGGGGGGGGGTTGCTTCTGCACAACCTACTAATGTGCTTGGTCAGGAGAAGCAAACCATGGACCATCTTCTGAGATGCCCTTCAGCTCCACAATGCACTCCTCAAGATGTGGCAATGCCAACACCAAGCGGTGGCCTTTGGATAATATTGGGGAGAAAAACTACATAGGTGGACAGGAGACACAACGAAGAATATAACGTACAATTTACTTTCTAATCACCGATCGCACTCAGACTATTGGGGTATTACGTTGAGAGGCGTAAAGAGTAACGCGTGGATTAAAGAACATAGGCGAGGTTTTTGTTAGTTTTCTGAAGTTATTTAACTCAATCAGAAATAGTGCGTGAATTGGTTTCTGCGGTTGTTCCTTCGTTTCTCAGTCTGCTTGGTCTAGTGAGGGTCGCGACGGCAGCGTGTTGAGTAGGGCGATCCAGACCTCCCTTTCCCTGGCGACAGACTCTAGCACTGCTTTACTATACACTACACTTTCCACTACTATACACTACACTATACATTACAACACTATACACTACTCTACACTACACTATGCACTACTATACACAACTACACTATACACTACACTATACACGACTATACAGAGACTGTAGCTCTTCCTGGGGAATTCCCAGGCGTTCCCAGGCCAGCTGAGCGACATAGTCCCACCAGCGTGTCCTGGGCCGGCCCCCGGGGTCTTCGCCCAGCGGCGATGGACACTAGCTTCTGTGGTTGTGTTTTTTTTAAGCATGTTAAAGAGTGTATGGTGGAATGGTGGTGCAGTGGTTCATTGCACTACCCCTACTTTTATTCCGCCATCTTGGGTTTTGATTCTCGGGCAAGGCTAAACACGAGTGCCAAAAGTTGATATCAGAACCGGCCCTGGGCCCCACCTTCACTGATGTAGCAAAGCACATGACAAAAACGGCCTCCACAACTGACACACATTGAGGAGACCTTGATCCAGCAGTAGATTGACAAAGAGCTGCATATTTGTGTTGTTATTATAATTATTAAATAGTGGGGAGTACAATAAAATGATGTTGAGTTAGGCAAACTAATTACCTGGCTGTCATTAAAAAAAACATAAAGGTCTCATTTGTAATGTATTGAATTATGATTTAAAGTAGTAGGAAAAAATCATAAATTATTGGTAATTGTTGTTGCCACATATTTACACCTGCATTTTTTTTGTATCCCCTACAGTAAACAATGGAAACCACTGACTTGCTTGAGTATTTGGTTATTCCGACACTATACACCATTGTGGTCATTCTAGGCCTTCCCCTGAACCTCCTGTCCATGTGGATTCTCAGCAAAAAGAGGAAGAACTCCATGTCCATCTACATGATAAACCTCACGACTGCAGAGTTGCTCTTTCTCTTCTGTCTCCCCATGAAAATCGGATACCATTTCAATAATAAGCGCTGGACACTGCCCGAGTTCATGTGCCACCTGTACGTCATTCTGTTCTTCACCAACATTTACACGACCCCCATGCTGCTCGCGGCCATCAGCGTCGACCGCTACATGGCGATCGTGCACCCACTCAAGGACTCGGCATGGCGGAAGGCAAAGACCGCATCGCGCGCCTGTGTGCTGGTGTGGATTCTGACCACCATTCACATTATGCCGCTAAACGCTGTGACCATGCTCAATTACGTCAACGAGACGAATGGCAGCCAGCAGATGCGGGCGATGTGCTACGAGAAGTTCTCGGAGGGCGACCTTCAGTACCTGACGACGTACCGGCTCTATTTGTTCTTCTCGCTCTTCGTCACTTCACTGGCCATAACGTTGTTCTCCTACGCAAACGTCCTGAAGGCTCTGATTGCAGGCAGAGAGCAGAGGTCATCGGCAAACCGGATGAAAAAGAACCGGGCTGCGAAAATGACTCTTGTGGGCCTCGTAATTTACATCGTGTGCCTCACTCCGTACAACTCCACACACATTATAGGGTTCATACAAAGCAGAACTAATGGGTTCTACTGGCAAAGCCTTGTGCTGATGCGTGATATCGCTTTTTGCCTCAGCGCACTGAACACTCTCTTTGATCCGCTAATCGTCTATATTGCATCGTCCACATTCCGCCATTCCCTTAAAATAATGTTCAGACGATTGCCGCCCAACAAAGTATCGATAATAATGACGTAACTCAATGAGGGGCTCATCTCTACAGCCAATTAATCAATCATTAGTACACAGTATAACTACTTTAATAAAGGTAGGTCCACATAGATAGATATATACACATCGATTTGCATCTATTTAATGCATCGCATATACATCTATAAGCGTGAGTCACGGACAAATATGTTAGTGCTCTAATATTATCGATGCAAAGTTGATTTTCACGGCACAACTGCATATAAGTAGTCCTAAGATGGAGGGGTTTTTTTTTACATAGAACATGCTTTAGAGTGGTTAAGTGAAGATGCGCTAGAGATTATAGAGCCATGATTCAAGTGGTAGTCATTATTCCACTCGGAATCAGAATATAAAATGGGTGTTTTAGAAAACACTAAAACATTCCCTGCTCTTTACCCAAACTAATTCTATTTTATCCAAACCGAGCCATTCTAATGCAAAGTGGTACAATCTGTGCAAATTGGACATATATTCCGTTAAATTTGCCTCTTAGAATGAGACCTGCAAAGAAAGCATTTCCCTAATTCCATTTGTTGCTGAAAACATTAAAAAAAAATATTTTAACCCAGTCTGGAGTCGATTCCTGTATGTCCATACAGCTTTCAAAACACACGCGCACACACGCCTGTAATTGTGAACAAATATGAACATTCATAAACGTTTTTGGGTTAGATCGCGTTATTTATAAATGTGTCGCAACCCTCCACCACCCGACACGGCCAATCAGTAAAAAAGTGTCACGTTGACAAAAAACAAATAGTTCACTACTTTAGCCCACCGGTGTGTTGAAGAGTGAATCCCACAACATTTACATGTAATGTAATTACCAGCGAAACGTCGTACTCAAAAATTGTAAATGTTGTGGATCTAACCCAAAAACGTTTATTACGAATAATATTGGTCGTGAAAGCCTACATGTTATATATGAACATGTACACATGTATGCTGTAACAATGTTGTATACTTGAACACCTATGCACAATATATATGCATGTATAATTGTATTCATATGTGTGTTGAGAATATACAATATCAATGATTTCCTGCTCAAATATAAATGTGGCAGGGCCTTATCCTGTTGGTTTGCTGAGCAAAAGAGAAGAAAATGTCACAGTCGTGTGGTGGAGTCAGCCTTTCCATCGGACAGAAAATATTAACTCTCCACAAACTACCCTTCATATACCCCAGCGGAATGATGGGTTGAATCCGTTCCATAGCAAAGCTTGAACTTAAAACATTGCAATTGGAATTTCAACACTCAACAACAGCATCATCACGCCTGCCTATATAACAACAGGAATTAGCCACTAAGTGGCGGTGACGTCAACAAGGCGCATGTGCCAGGCCAGGTGCACTTTAAGGCCACGTTAAGTGTCGAACCCCCGCTGGAAAGAGGTCACGGGACAGACCGAGGTGCTATGGGTTGACTGACATTAGTGCACTCCTCTGATACCATTGCACACAAAAGTTGCAGTGGGGGTTCTGAAATGTGCGGGACAATTCCACAGTTGTGGAGCTATTCGTGGGACCAATCTGCACATTGTGAAATGGTTAAATGGTTCTCATGAACACACTTGTTCACGTGTGCAAAACAACACTGGGTAATGGTGGCACAGTGGTGGGTTGCATTCTGCACTCCGAACCTGGGAATCCGATGTCAATTCCCAACCTATCCTGAGCCTTGGCAGGCCAAGTCTGAACCTTTCCTGAGTCTCCCCCAGTGATGACTCGGCTTTCATCGTGTGTGTGAGTGACAGATGTGAACCGGTTTAGTCAGCCCTGTCCAGGGGCAGTAAATTGGGCCTGGCGCCGTGACTCTGTGATGGAGTTCTGTGCCCAGCCCCTGTCTACAATGACTCTCAGCTGTGGTACAAATATGGGATTTACCAATTTTATAGCACAAAAAAAAGATTTAAAAATAAACATTAGGGGAAGTTGGTCTGTGGGAGGTTTCTACTTCTGGAATTTTCCACCACAGAAACTTCCATCCAATTTACAAATGGAGCCAAATGTCTGTTCTTTTGGGCTTGCATTATTTGTTTTATGTGTATTTAAGTTATTTCCTTATCTGTGGAACCCTTTGTGCTAGTATTAAGATGATAGAATGAAAATGATTTACCCTTTCTGTAAATAATATTTCAGGTGTTAAGATGTCCAAACACCAAATAGACGCACCTATTGCAAAGCATGAAGGCTGAATTAACCACACATACTTGTGGTAAAATATGCAAACTAAATATGCTTTCATAACGTATTCATGGTCTTTAAAACTGACTGGCCTATACCAGACAGGCTCCTTTATGGCTTTGTCTCGCCGGTGCGAGACCAGAGAACGCGAAAAGGTGACCATCACAAGGACGACGCAAACGTCAACGCATTAATAACCCGGGTTAAGCTGTTTTATCTATAGGATCACTTTGTCCCAGTATAAATACTGGGAAAAATGTTTGCATTGTCCTTGTGCTGTTTTGCCTTTTGGCATTCTCTGGTCTAACACTGGCAGTGAGACGAAGCCATAAAAGAGGCTGTCTCTGGTGTAGGCTAATCAGTTTCAAGGACAAAGCATACGTAATTATCAAAGCATTTTATTTGCATGTTTTACCACAAGCATGTGTAGTAAATACAGACTTGATAGCTTGTAATTATTGCCAGAAATTATTAAGCCTTTTTCGTCTATATTTCTTAAGTTATTTGTTTGGAATGGGAATTTTTGCCATCAGTGCCTTACACTAATTATTTTAAACAATTTTGTTAACTGGACACACGCATTGTCATCAAAAGAGGGAGGAAACAGGACGTCTTTGCATACCTTCTTAATATCTACAAGAGTAAAGACCATTAACTCGGGTACTTTCCTCAATTTTATTTAAATATCGCTCACCGTAACATCTGTTGTAAGGCAACAGTGACAGGGAGTGCGAGCTCAGTCGTGTCCAGCCGCACCGTGCCTCGCGTGGGGCAGGCAGGGGGCTGCCTTGGCACCCCCTGGTGGCCAAAGCTATGACTTGGGTGCCCATTTGACAACCAACCATGAGATATGTTTTCGACAACAGTGTAAAAGAACAAGAAACGTATTTAAAACGCAGTTTAAATTTATTTTTTATGAAAATGCCTTCATTTATGTTTCACATTTTATTTTTGCCGAACCCCCTGAGCTGATAATGCAGTTACCACGCCACGGTGTGCATGCATCAGCTCATACAAATTGCCTCTCACACCTTACGACTTGAATGGAAATACTGCCACCTGCAAGTCATATTGACGATGATGGCAGCAACACAACCATGTATACATAATATCTAGACATGCATTTTTAACATGACGTCTAGGTTTACCTTGGATCACCAGATACAGTCTGTTCTCCGAAAATGCTGCGTGTTGTTTTCATAACGCGAATTGGATATAACGCGATTAATGTATTCGGGCACACTTTTTTTTATATATATACGACGCGATCGGCGTAGCATCATCATCATCGCACAAGGCGGGATGCTGCTGGATGCTTCTAGATGCTACCCACGCTCCTCAGTCTTTGTTCGACCTGCGTACGCATCTCACGCGTTATCGCGAACTGTGCTTTACCCCTATATTAACATATGATTTAACGCGATTTTTCCATAACGTGGTGTTCTTCAGGAACGCAACTACCGCGTTACAGGAGAACAGACTGTGTGTGTGCCGAGCTTAACCGTGAGATTGCTTTAGAGTTTAGTTTGTTGTCCTTTCCCCCGCACCTCCAACTAGCTCGGTTGGCTAACGTACGATGCAAAATAAGTTCAACATGCTTACATACATACAAACGAGCCAGCACCCAAAGTAAATGAAATGCCTTTATCTCATTATGGTAGGGGTGCAACTTTGCAAACTTTCGGTTGAGCAAATGAAGCCCGTGACATTCACCCCGATATGTTGAGGGCTGCAACCTGATTTTCCTTAAATTTGCACTTTAAAACGTTAATCAGCCACTTGCGAAGAGAAGGCGTGGCGATGTAAATGATGAGCACGTCGAAGAGGCTGTTGAGGGCGTTGAGACAGAGCGTGATGTCTCGCAGCAGAGCGATGGTGTGTCCGGAAAACGTCGTCGATTTGCTCTGCAAGAATCCCACGACGTGGGTGGAGTTGAACGGAGTGAGACACACCACGTAAATGAATAAATTCACAGCGGTGACCTTAGCCGCCCTCATTTTTTTCTCGCGGCTCACGAGCTCGGTTTTCCCCTTACTGTTAATGAGAACTTTGAGCACATTTCCGTAGGCGAATAACACCGTGAGGAGCGATAGAAGATAGAGGGAAAAAAAGATGTACAGCCTGTAAGGGATTAACAAGTCGTACTCTTCTTTGCTGAAGATCTCGTAGCACCGAAGGACTGGCGCTCCGCCCACATAGGTGCTATTGTCGTAGTTGAGAACGGTGACAGAGTTTACGGGCACGTTGTGGATTGACGTGACGACCATCACCACGAGGGACACGCGCCACGCAGTTCGCGGCTCGCGCCAGCGCGAAATCCACAGCGGGTGCACGATGGCCAGGTAGCGGTCGACGCTGATGACGGCCAGCATGATGAGCGTGAAGTAGGTGTTGGTGAAGAAGAAGATGACGTACATACGGCACAGGATGGTGGGAAGGGTCCAGTTATTCATTTGGATGTTGTAGTAGATTTTGAATGGCAAGAAGAGCAGGTAGAAGAGATCCACCAAGGCGAGCGTCAGCAGGTAGATTGACGTTGAGGTCTTCTTCTTTCGGCTCAGCATGACGACTGCCAATCCGTTCAGGGGTGCCCCCAGCGCCACTATTATTGTGTAGATTGCTGGAATCATCCGGTACTGGTAAAAATAGTTATCCATTTTTTCTGTTGAAGTGTGATTTTTTTTTATATTGCTGGAAAAAAAAACAGAACGACGATGAGACAAAACCTGGCAGGATGTGGATGAAACTTACACCGATAAAGCAAGCGGACGAAAGGAATTCAAATTTAAGCTGTGAGATACTCATAAAGCAACATTTTCGTCACTTTCCATTGACCAAAATAGTCCTTAATCAACCAAATATGATGCGCAAGCAGGGAATTAAAAAAAGTTTCACCAGAGGATTAATGCTGCCATTAAACCCTAAGAATACACTTATATAGTGGGCTACGAGACAAAGAACATCCATTCGGATCTCTTACACAGCCGTGTTAACCCTTCAACGTTCGAGATCATGTCTCACGGAAGCAGACACCACGGAGCTACCTCCTAGATCCCTCTGAGCATTTCCGGATTAAGCTAACGCGGGGCCTGTAGCATATGTTATAAAGGGGCCCTAAATAAAATAAATAAAAACCCACGTAAATATTAAAACACAAATTTGTTTTACTTGCATAGCAAAGTTATTGTATTTTTTTTCTATTTGCTATACAGCAACAGATAATACGACAAATCGCTAACCTTAAACACCCAGTCGTTCATAAAAGTTGATTGCCAGTATAGTAATAGAGCAAGTGCAGAATCACTGAACGGGAATTGATGGCTTGAAAGTATGTAGCGCGGCGCCCTTGAAAGTGCGGGGCCCGTAGCTACTTATGTAGCTACTTTTGCTACAGATAAATCCGCCACTGCCTCTGAGTGAGCTCTGATTCACACCCAGTAGAGGGCGACACTTTCCCACTTCGCACCGCTGCGGAGGGCAATCACAATCGTAGAAATCAAAGCGATCTTTTTAATGCTCAGAATTGGAAAGTGAGGCTGTGAGATGACCTCCAAGCGGCCAACAAGTTTACGCTGCATTATAATTACGCGTGTGCACCCAGGAAAGCCTCACTGAGTCTAATTGCTCTTTTTCAAGAGGGTCCTACCAAGATGTCACAGTTGTAGTGGACGGTAATGTTGCTCCGCGTATTCCAATGGACTGTACCTGCGGGTCATATTAAAAATGTGGAAAATCGTGCCATTGTGTCTGTTCACTCACCCACTTGTTATCCGCTCGTTTGCGTGAATGTTATCTCCTCGTGTGCGTGCAATTTAATCCAGGTACTCGTATTTTCTTCCTGTATGCAAAGTAATAAAAATGATTAATACCAGTCTTTAGATTCAGTTAAGCTGTCCTTGATAATACAAGAAGCAGCATCATTAGAAACAGCAATGGCAACAGCATCATTAGAAGAAGCAATGACTATTATAAGTGGACGCAGCATTATGATCACAATCATCATATACAACATAATCTTCCTCAGATTATTTTTCCACATAGTAGAACTTCCGGTGATGGTCAAACGTTGAACTACACTATCACCCACAGGAAAGTGCCAATAATAATATGCATGTAATGCCTCTTTTGAGCTTTTGTTACATTTTATTTGCAGGATTCACGTTTCTGATCCATCTGTCAAAAGGTAAACGGCTCCAGTGAAACATTTTCTTCTTGAGGCGCATTAGTTGGTTCATTACTCTCCATAATGAACTCCAGTTTCCCGAACAACACAACCATAATCTCATCGGCCTCTCGATTCCATCGTCGTTTGTCTGCCTTCATTAACTTGTAAATATCCTTGCAGTGTTGTCCAGCTGTGTCCCACTGAGAGATTTCCCCAATGGTTTAGGAAGCCTGTTGTACTGTACACGGCTACCAATGGGACTGCACTGCGGGAAATGTTAGAAGCACCTTCTTTCTCCAAAGAAGCAACTGTCGCAATGAGATTGGGGCGACGAGGGCGGTAAATGACACATCAGAAGTGGAAGCGGGCACTGCGATTGCCTGATTCGCTGTCACCAAGCTCAAAATCTGGATATATCTTCTGAACCGATTTTGTAGAAATGAAAGCGTGAACGTGCAACAGAGGGGGGTTTTGCCCTCTCAAATTTTCCGAAGATGCGATTATTTCAACAGGCGTGACATTTTACTACGAGGGTTTGTTGAAGAACTTCGAAAATAATGCTGCAACGTTGGGCACAAGATAAATATCAGCAAAACAAAAGTCTTTCTATTTTTTTAGTTTATTTCACCAGGTAAGGCTCAATGAGCTACATAGCTCTTTTTCAGAAGCGGCTTAGCCACAAACTATAGCTCAACAAAGTGACTTATTGCGTGGAAATGTATCACAGCCAAATACTCTAAACGCATGTTTCGAAATGTGGAGGGAAAAAACGAGGGACCCGGAGAAAAATCCACGCGACCACGGGGAGACACACAAACTCCAAACATACAGGTGTCAGGGTCAATATGGAACCCATGACCTCTTGTATACCAGGCGAGGTAGTTAACATCTCACCACCGTGGTGCCCATAAGTCATCTACAACAAACTCTGGCTTAATCTCACCATATTAACTGAGGCTTTTGGCTTCGTGATCCTGCCCTCTGGGTGTGCTCCTCTCCAATGCATGGCATCAGGCCTGACTCCCTCCTGCACAAGTCCATTGTACTGCAGAGCCTAACGTCACCACTTACATTAGTCATTATTTCCTGCCATTTTCTCGTCTGAACTTTCCAGTCGATAACCACAGTTCCCTCTGTATGCGCCAGAAGCTTCCTAACAGCTCTTTGACCTATAAAGTAACACGTACATTGCTGGTGTCCTAAATAGCGGCGTTTCAAGTTTCTAGAGACAAAACCTCTTTAGTCTTTGAACTTGGATAATCAACGCTATAAGAAGGTCTCTTTACATTCCACATGATTCTAGTGATGCCATTCTTGGTGACAGGCTGGGAGATATTAAGAACACAGGGTATAAGGAGGCATAAGGAGGATAGGCATATATGAGTAGAGTCAGACATCAGGATGCCATTCCTGAAAGGAAAACATATGATTGGTGACGTTTCGGTGACTGGCCCCTCTACATAGTATAATAAATGTTTAGTGTTTGTGTATTTGTGCCTGTATACAATGGAGTATCACCTTTGTTTGATTTTGAGAGAGAAATTGTTTAGTTGGTAGTTCATGTGGTCGGAACTGAATTGATTGCCGATGAGAGTTTTAATTGCTGAAGCACGTGCAGTGAAATGTCAGAGACTTCATGTCGAGCAACGCGCGGTACAACCTGAAAGCACACCGGAGAGAGAAGAGACTTGGAGTCCTGATGGCTACTCACCTGCTAAGTAACGGCTATCATTCATTCAAACAAATCAATCATCTGTCGTCTTCTACCGTCTGATTTCCTTCTTGATAAACATTTCTGGTGTGAATGTAAAACAAATTAAAGACTTGCCCCACAAATAGAAATGGCAAAGTCATATAAACACGTTTTTTAAAATAATTATACATCTTTTACTCCATTCCCTGGAGCCAGATTCGGTCAGTTCTTTTGTGGATTAAATTAAACGTATATTATCAAAACAATTACGTGCAATATTGGACTAAATATTGCTCCAGTATATACCATCTAGACTGCAAATAGTGTTTAGCTAAGTTGAGCATTAAAACAAGAAGCTAATACTGTATAAGATTTGCCAAGTTAAATATTCAACAATCTTGTAAAACCTCTGTAAGCCCATAGAATCTTTATGCAATCATCGGCAACTGCTAAGATTAACAATCTTACTGAATGGCGAGCCATTTAATTCAAAATTAAAAACCAACTTTTGCATGAATTCTAGATACTGCAGGTGCTGATTGATAAGCCTGCCATAAAAAAGTATATCCCTCAGCCACCAAGCCATTCCAGTTTATTTCAACGCCATCATTCGAAGCAAAAAAAATGTATAATGTAAATCTCTATAAAAAAAAAACATTTAAAAATGTCATGTGATATACGCACCGAACATTACCTTTGATCAATTATTATTCCCCATGGCCGCGCTTTCTGCGGTCATCACACCTTCTGCGCGGCTTCGACACGGACGGCACTTCCTATTTTATAAAATATATTTTAATTGAATGCTGGGGTTAACACAACAGTCATTGTCCACTTTGCAGCGCATTTAAAATAATTCCACACTAGGCAAACAAACTCCGCGAGCGCACGCGTGCCCCGGGCGAGAATCATCGAGTCATCACTTGCGCCCCGGTGTGCCCGGTTTGTAGCCACCGTCTCCAACTCGCGATGCTCAGCACAAAAAAATAATGCAAGTAAGCACGTGCGCTTACTCACGTTGCCCACGCTTTGTCTTTTGATGTCACATCTGGCGTCATCTCCTGAACAAATACAGTGAGGGAAAAAAGTATTTGATCCCCTGCTAATTTTGTACGTTTGCCCACTGACAAAGAAATGATCAGTCTATAATTTTAATGGTAGGTTTATTTGAACAGTGAGAGACAGAATAAGAACAAGAAAATCCAGAACAACGCATGTCAAAAATGTAAAAAATTGATTTGCATTTTAATGAGGGAAATAAGTATTTGACCCCCTCTCAATCAGAAAGATTTCTGGCTCCCAGGTGTCTTTTATACAGGTAACGAGCTGAGATTAGGAGCACACTCTTAAAGGGAGTGCTCCTAATCTCAGCTTGTTACCTGTATTAAAGACACCTGTCCACAGAAGCAATCAATCAATCAGATTCCAAGCTCTCCACCATGGCCAAGACCAAAGAGCTCTCCAAGGATGTCAGGGACAAGATTGTAGACCTACACAAGGCTGGAATGGGCTACAAGACCATTGCCAAGCAGCTTGGTGAGAAGGTGACAACAATTGGTGCAATTATTCGCAAATGGAAGAAACACAAAAGAACTGTCAATCTCCCTCGGCCTGGGGCTCCATGCAAGAACTCACCTCGTGGAGTTGCAATGATCATGAGAACGGTGAGGAATCAGCCCAGAACTACACGGGAGGATCTTGTCAATGATCTCAAGGCAGCTGGGACCATAGTCACCAAGAAAACAATTGGTAACATACTACGCCGTGAAGGACTGAAATCCTGCAGCTCCCGCAAGGTCCCCCTGCTCAAGAAAGCACATATACATGCCCCTCTGAAGTTTGCCAATGAACATCTGAATGATTCAGAGGACAACTGGGTGAAAGTGTTGTGGTCAGATGAGACCAAAATGGAGCTCTTTGGCATCAACTCAACTCGCCGTGTTTGGAGGAGGAGGAATGCTGCCTATGACCCCAAGAACACCATCCCCACCGTCAAACATGGAGGTGGAAACATTATGCTTTGGGGGTGTTTTTCTGCTAAGGGGACAGGACAACTTCACCGCATCAAAGGGACGATGGACGGGGCCATGTGCCGTCAAATCTTGGGTGAGAACCTCCTTCCCTCAGCCAGGGCATTGAAAATGGGTCGTGGATGGGTATTCCAGCATGACAATGACCAAAAACACACGGCCAAGGCAACAAAGGAGTGGCTCAAGAAGAAGCACATTAAGGTCCTGTAGTGGCC